ATGTGATTGCATCCTAAGGAGATAGGTAAGGATCCGTTCCTCCAAGATGCACGTGGATTATTTCTGCTCTGTTTACTTTTCAGTATATTTTACGGCATTTACTCTTTATCTCCACTTTGTAGTGAACCTAGTAGCTAGGTAAGTATATAAACGCAATTAAAAGGACAGAACAGGTACTAACAAATACGTATATATAAAATATTCAGTTCACTTAAGTTAATATACACAAAAAGGACTAAGGTTATTTGAAGAAAAACTAGAACGGTCACAAAATACACAAATTATAGACGTACGAAATTATAGGAATGTAATTGTCCTTCTCTTGATTATACAAATTCTCCACTACAACTTAGCGCTGTCAACCGTCGGAAGTCTCCACGTAGAGTAAAGCAGATAGGAGCAAAGTTCTTGACGGGGATGTGTCAACCAGTGCGAGACAGCGTTGGTCAGCAGATGTGCTGGGCGAGCAGCCGGAGAGAGAGCGAACGATTCGTTCCTTGCGCGCGGTTCAAGGTTTTAAGGTTGAATTCCTTCTTTTTTTCGTGAACATATAATTTGATATGTTTTTAGGCCGCCACACGGCTCCCCCTCTTAGAAGTCCGGAGGGACTGCTACCGACGATTTGCAGTACAATTGTGAGAAGAAAAATAATTATAATGCTACAGAACACTATGGGAATACGGAAAAAAAATGGAAAAGATTTTTTTTACGCTTTAGTGAATAGTTCGACATCAACTTCTGAACTGGAAGTGGGTGGGAGTACAATGGATACATATTACGGAGAGTGAACACGCACACAAAACAAAAAAATATTCTTTTAATAAACACAGGTGAGTATACGTCAGCTCTGTTTATATGACACATGAAAGAAAAAAAATTGCGAAAGAGATCAATGTTAATTGGAACGATGGCATCAAACTGAATGGCACTAATAATAATAATAAAAATAAGGATAATGTCCGTTGAAACGCTAACCAATATAGTAGTAATTTTGGGAGAATAGTTGTGAATACATATATACACATATACAGTACTGAGGTAGTAAAAAAAAATAGCAATGCTTCGGCACAAAAATGATGTCGCATCTGACACAAATAAACTACGTAAGTCAATAATTAACAACAATAATCAATGATGTATACGTAAAAAAAAATTGTTACAACCTTAAAGATATTAATCAGTAAAGTGTACAAAACGGGCAGGTTTATTAACCTGTCTGCCACTACGAGTAATGCAAGCGGGAGGTAGCATTATTGGCACCTCTGGAGCTTTGGCGGTTTCTTGTTTGTCTGCTGAAGTCACTGTTGGGATGTCGTCGCCATCTGTGTAAGCAGGTTTGAGTCTATCCACGGAGACCGTCATCTTTTTACCTTCTTTGCTCACTGTGAAATATTTTTCCGCGCGATGCACTACTGGGTATGGGCCTTCATATGGAGGTTGTAGCCCTTTCCTGACGTTGTCGATCCGTATAAAGACAAATTTACAGGTTTGTAGATGGCTACTTAGGTTTTCTCTGCGGGGACATTGTCTCGGAGCTATTGGTTGAAGTTGTGACATTCGTCCGGTCAGTTGATCAGAAAACTCAGAAATATTCACATTTTGAGAGTCATGAGAGGCTACTAGCTGACCTGGCAGTGTTAAAGTAGTGCCGTAAACTAGTTGTGCGGGTGTACAACCAAGGTCCTCTTTAACAGTTGATCGTATGCTAAGTAAAATCTAAGGTAAGTATTCACTCCATTTAGATGCATCATTCTGTGCCATCAGGGAGCTTTTCAGTTGTCTGTGAAATCTTTCCACAAGACCATTCGCTGCCGGATGGTAGGCTGTTGTGGAGATATGTTTAACTCCCAGGAGTCTCGACAGTTCACGAAACAGCGTCGATTGGAATTGAGCACCTCGATCGGATGTAATAGTAGTTGGTATACCGTAATTTGACACCCAGCGGTCGAGGAAAACCAAAGCAACATTTTCGGCAGATATATCGTTCAGGGGGCATGCAATAGCCCAACGAGTAAATCTATCAATGGCTGTCAGGATATGTGTATATCCTCTTGACGTTGGCAATGGTCCTACAATATCTATATGAACGTGCTGAAATCTCCTGTCCGGTAAATCAAACGTTTTCGGCGTTGTGACAGTGTGGCGATGTACTTTGGAGCGTTGGCATTGGAGACATTCTCGTGCCGATCTCCGAATATCAGAGTTCATTTTGGGCCACACGAAACGTTCGCTGATGAGTCTGACGGTGGCACGTACTCCAGGGTGAGAGAGGGAATGTAAGTGGTCGAATAAAGATCTTCGGCATTGGAGAGCAACAAACGGACGATTAGTGCCGGTAGATACATCACAAACTATAGTGGCATCTGATAAGAGAATAGGTACGTCCCTGAGCTGTAAGGAAGAGTTTCCGCGACAATTTCGAAGTTCTGAGTCGTCTCTTTGTAACTGAGCCATCCGGTCAAGACTGACGTCTACTGAAGTTTCAAGCTGGTGTATACCACCTCTTGAAAGAGAATCAGCTACCACGTTTGCGTCCCCTTTGATGTACTGTATGTCAGTTGAAAATTGGGAGATATAGTCTAACTGTCTGGCTTCTCTTGGGGAGTGTTTATCCAGCGAAGTGGTGAAAGCATAGCACAGAGGTTTGTGGTCGGTAAAAATAGTGAAATGACGACCCTGTAGTAAGTAACTGAAGTGTTTGACTGCTAGGTATATAGCCAACAATTCTCTCCCAAAAGTACTGTATCTTGTCTGAGCCGGTTCTAACCTCTTCGAAAAGAAAGCAAGTGGGGTAACGTCACCATTAATCTTCTGCTGTAACACCGCGCCCACAGCTACTTGGGAGGCATCTGTACACAAGATAAGAGATGCGTCGGGGTTGATGTGAGACAACATAGCGACTTTAGATAAAGCGTCTTTCGCGTTGCAGAAAGATTCGTGTGCTTGCTCTGACCATTGAAATTTTTTAGGATCACTTTTAAGGAGATCGGTTAAAGGCTGGACGATAGAGGCACACGAAGGAATAAAACGTCGATAGAAATTAAACATCCCCAAAAATTGTCGGACTTTCTTCAAAGAGTCTGGTTGGGGGAAGTTTTTGATTGTATCTATCTTTTCCTCAGTAGGCCTGATTCCCTCGGCAGTTATGTAGTGTCCCAGAAATTGAATAGAAGAGGCACCGAAAATGCACTTCTTAGGATTTATCGCGACACCATACTGTTCGAAACGCTGAAACAAAGTGCTAAGATGATTCTTATGTTCCTCTTCCGACTTGCTAGCAATTAGTACGTCGTCGATATAAACGAATACAAAGTCAAGGCCCCGCGTGACTTGATCCATGAAGCGCTGAAAAGTTTGTGCAGCGTTTTTCAGCCCGAAAGGCATTCGTAGGAATTCAAACAAGCCAAAAGGTGTTATAATGGCTGTCTTCTCGATGTCCTCTGGAGCAACTGGTATCTGGTGATAAGCTCTGACTAAATCCACTTTGGAGAAAATAGTTTTACCTTGCAGTGTTAGAGAGAAATCATGCAAGTGGGGAATGGGATAACGATCTGGAACAGTGGCGTTATTCAAACGTCGGTAATCCCCACACGGTCGCCAATCATGCTCAGCTTTTGGTACCATATGTAATGGTGAGGACCAGGGACTGTTGGATGGCCGGATGATGCCCAATTGCATCATGTGTTCGAATTCAGCTTTGGCTGCTGCTAACTTGTCAGGTGGTAGTCGACGAGGACGTGCTCTGACGGGTTGACCAGTTGTGACAATTTTATGCGTGACAGAATGAGGAACATCTTCGATATTATAAGATGGCTTTAAAATTTTTGGGAAACGATGCAGTAATGCAGAGAACATGCAGTCATCTGGCTTCTCGATGCATATGTTATAAACAGAGTAGTTTGAGATGATTCCGTGGACTTGAAGCTGGGTGCAGTTATCAATCAGCTTTTTCTTGTTGACATCAACCAGCAGATTGAAATTGCTTAAAAAATCGGCACCCAATATGGCATGACTAACGTCAGCTACTATGAATATCCATGTAAATCGACGACGTAAACCAAGATCCAAAATAAGTGATTGTTCGCCGTAAGTCCGTATGCTAGTTTGGTTAGCTGCTCGAAGTGAGAGTTTTGCAGCTGTGCTAGAAGATCGCCTGGAGAGTGAAGGAGGTATTACACTAACTTCGGCTCCTGTGTCTACCAGGAATAATGTGCCTGTGGTTTTGTCCTTCACGTAGAAAAGGCGACTTGAATGGTTGCCAGTAACAGCTGTCGCCATCACTGTCTGGTTGAGACGTTTCCCCTGAGCCTGGTTCTCTTCACTAAAGATGCACGGTCTGACACATTTCAAGGCATGACGTCCAAACTTCCTATGATACCAACATATATTACTGTCCCTAGAAGACATTCGGGACCGCTGCCGGAAGAGAGATCTTCTATGTGACTGTGACCGTGCTTGTGAACTCCGCCTCTCGACTCGTCGATCAGATCTATGTGTTTCCAACTTGTCAAGCCTTGCCGCTAAGTCTGCAATGGCGGTGAGTATTGGTGACGACATTATAAGTGTGAGAATATTGATACAAAGGGGAATACAAATATGAGACCACCAACAAAAACTTGCAATGAAAGTACAAAATAGCAAAAATAAGTATATAGATACGGGAAAACAATCCGTGTTCCAAAACGGGCTCACCAATTAAGTGTAGTGCACCTAGTAGCTAGGTAAGTATATAAACGCAATTAAAAGGAGAGAACAAGTACTAACAAATACGTATATATAAAATATTCGGTTCACTTAAGTTAATATACACAAAAAGGGACTGAGGTTATTTGAAGAAAACTATAACAGTCACAAAATACACAAATTATAGACGTACGAAATTATAGGAATGTAATTGTCCTTCTCTTGATTATACAAATTCTCCACTACAACTTAGCGCTGTCCCCCGTCGGAAGTCTCCACGTAGAGTAAGGCAGATAGGAGCGAAGTTCTTGACGGGGATGTGTCAACCAGTGCGAGGCAGCGTTGGTCAGCAGATGTGCTGGGCGAGCAGCCGGAGAGATGGCGAACGATTCGTTCCTTCCGCGCGGTTCAAGGTTTTTAGGTTGAATTCCTTCTTTTTTTCGTGAACATATAATTTGATATGTTTTTAGGCCGCCACAAGTGTAGTGCACCCGCATCCACTAAGCACACTTGATACATGCACAAGTTTAGGTCGAATAAAGATCCCTACCCACGTTTCTAGCTTAACTAAAAATAAAAATGCCTTAACCTATAGTAAATCCAGTACTCCAATGTCTAATTCTTCACCGAAAACAACACACACCAACTCGATAGACATAGGTGAGCATGATGTTGAAACTCCTCTTGACATAGGGTCGTCATGTCAAACACACCTACTGGGTGCTTATTAACGAGCTTAATTACTGCAAACGCTATTTCAAATCTCCTCTTTACCTAATCCCCATAAATGCCATGTAAATTTATCAAGTGTCGCAAATCCTATCAAACCGCAAAACTTCCGACAAAAGATTCTGTCTACTCAACTTTAGGAAACGTAATGTTCCAGAAACTCATGCAAATAAAATACCCTTAAATAATGGCGCTTTTCCTAGTAACTGAACAAGAAATCAACGAATGTCATAGACTTAGATGCGTTTCTAGAGTTATGCTCGCTAGACGCATCATCACTATGAACTGTTGCGCAAAAGGCTAAGCTTGAGCGTGGACCATTAAAAAGGGGGTCCCTAAGAGGCACCCAGATTAGTATGCATGCATGTAACCCTACCATCCAGAACGCCTGTACTCAAACCCGTCACTGATAGGTTTCTCAGCAGTAAATCCAATAACCCTAACATAAGCATATCCAATCATATCATCAACCCAGGGAATAATATATATTTATTCCTATCTATGCAGGACACACCAGTTGTACAGGCATGGATAAGTATTATTTACATTACATGATTTTGATTTATGGTGAAACTACATAGCCTCTGTCCTTACTGACATTAATAATAATATATATTTCGTATAAACGGGTAAGTTTACATGAAATGCATGCCATTTTTACAGGCACGATCAATTATGTTACGAATAACAATTGTTAATTAGCATACATTGTCACTTTTTCAAAAAGTTCATATTGTTGAGTTATAGTACAAGCAATCAGAACAGATTCTTATAAATGTTAATTTGTAAATATTTCACTAAGGTCACCATCGAAGTTGAGCGACAACCCGAAATTCGTTCCATTTCCCGATGATAGTTATGACCAATCGATAAACAACATATATTTGTGTGAGTGCTATGCCTTCAAATGCTTGAACGCTATTTTAGGAATTGAAGAAAATCTGGCGCAGCTGCAAAATGGTATAGAATGCAATTATGAATAATACATTATTAAAAGTATATTTACAAGATAAATACAAGAAGCTATGTAGTACTTGAAATGATAATACACATTTGCAATGTATGATGCTAACCATATTGGTCTTACCATGGAAAACTATGACGCTTTCTATGAAAATATATTTATTCTCAAACATGAGTGTTGTTGTTTTTATCATCAGAGCAACCGAACTTTACGCGAGAAAAGGGTGTAAATGAGAAGAGGGAAAAAATTTCAGCTTCATTAAAGTCCTAGGAAGTTGAGATAAAATAGAGTATAATAGTAATTAGGTAGAAGGATTATTGTGAAGTATATAAGTAACATTTCAGAGAGAAGTGGCTAGAAGGACTAGAACCTGTTGAATACGGTGACCTGTAGGATGTTTGGCGAACTTGTGTATGGCCCATGGGATAGCATCTTGACAAGAAACTGAGCAGGCTTGTAGATGTTAGGAGCGAAAGCATTGTTATTTTTTTACAAGCTAAAACTGTACAGTCATTATTGTTTTATTTTTTCAATTAATTTTTTTTAGTCTATTTTTTTATACATTTAGTATCTAAACTCATGTTTAGTTCTCGAGCTGCCAAAATAATGCATGTTGCTGTCCTACAGATCGGAGCGATTCACATTTGTGACCACTACCAAATCTGCTGATCAGCATGCGCCACCCTCCCTCCTTTTTTGACATTAAGCTCTGAGACCTTTTACAATGACTGCAGTTGTAATATTGGATTGCTTTGACTCCGTCCCAATCATACAGTATGCTGCACATTAACAGCTTTCATGACAAGTGCTTCCCATTAGGTCACATGGCACAATAATACCAGAAGACATCGTTAGCAATATTATCATCATACTAGTGAACAAGTGGGTTACTACAAAAGACTAAGAAATTAGGTTTCCCTTAAGAGTTATGAAGTATAAAAATAGCTAATATTAGAACAACTAAGTTATATTCTATTTATCAGAGTGATATGAGTAGTGGAACAATTAGTGATAAAGTTATGTAAAGTGGTCCTGAGTAAGGCAACTGGTTAGCAGAACTTGTTATGCTAAATTTTCACGACCGATTTTATATGGTGTGCGTTACACATTGCAAAGTGACTCATCAATTATATAATGGAGAAATACTACATAATTTCAATATTATGAATTTTTTAGAAAATTATATGAATATGGGTAGGTGTTGACTGAAGATAGTCATTTCAACTCAAAAATAGTGCTAATAATATAAGCATATATGTAAAATATTAAAAGATATGGTTGCTAATGTAATTGTTTATGGAAATAATTACACTGACGAACTTATTGAAGATTACAGTGAAGAGAAAGTCAGTGAGTTAGTTAAACGGTTACTGCGCAGTTAGTAGTTAGAACATCTTTAAAAGTAAAAGGTAGAAGAGTTTTCAGTACTGGGTCAAATTAAGACATAATCGACGGATTAGAGTGTAGTGGATAGTGGTACGATTAAAGATAAGGTTAGGTTGAATGAGCTTGGGGAAAATGGTTGGTTGGCTGAGTTTGTTATTGCTAAGTTTTCCTGGCCACTTTTCATATGGCGTGCTTTAGACATTACAAAGTAACAGTTTGCTTATATTATGGAAGAACTATCACAACTAATTTGGGATTATACGTCCAGGATAATTATAGATAGTCTTATGAGTTTATAAGCCCGATTGATGAAATATTGATAAGATCTCCAATAAGCTGAATAACCAAACCTCAGATCAAGGCATGTGGGAGAAATTGGGTTGGTTTTATCACGTTTTAGGTGCGGTACTGTTGCTGGGGCAAATGAGTTTCCTCAAATTGGGGGTATTGCACTGGGGTCTGTAGTACCAAAGTTAGATGAACAGCCCATATGGGTAAAGTATGGATAAGTAGACCGAAGCTCTTTTGTTGACAAGAACTCGTTAAGGAGACGCTGGAATTCAGTGGGAGATCGGCAACTACGTACATTAAGTGGAAGTTCGTTCCATAATGCACTGTACTGTATTTTAAAGAAACGTGATCGCAGTTTTGTCCGGTACCGGCTTATGGATAGAGTATTTTCATGATTTCTAAGAGTATATATGGTTAAATTATTGAAAGCTATTGGATTACTGCTTTTGAGGTAGCCATGTAAAAGGCGAAAAAGGAATGTAAGGTTGAGTTTCAGGCGCCTTAACCAAAGTGGCTGAAGTCTATACATTTTGCACCTATCCGCGTAAGTCAGTCCTTCATGTTTGTGTAATAGGCGTCGTGTAAAACTTCGCTGAATATTTTCAATACGAACCCTGTCATACCTGTAGCGGTAAATAATTCCCCAAAATTATTAACCACAGCAATCATCACTCAACATTGGATGCTGACCATCACTGTTTAAGTCGACTTGTTTAGCTGAAGGCTTACGGTCAAGCATCCCCGCCATTTGGTGCTCTTCGTCGTGTCACGTGCGTGCACGATTACTAGCTAGCTAAGCATTCATTCCTACCCGCGATTTGGTCCCAAAATATATATCGTATTTGGACGACAAAATCTGGTCTTTTGCTTTACCATTTGGTACTCGAAGAATGAACAC